GGCCACAGGCCATCCAAGCATTCTCCTTTTGGCAACTGTAGTTGCCTCTCATGCTTCTTATCCACTGGTCAGCACTCGCGGCTGCATACATCAACATCATTTTGTAATGATTATGGTTTGCTTTTTGCTATATTCGTTTGCCAATGTTTTCAAATCACTTTTGAGAAAACATGTGTTAGAGGGTGCATGCTACCTCACTGCTTTAAATGCCATCTTTTATGAAAGAAGTACAGTTGGCCTGATTTTTGAATACTGGCACTAGTGCAAAGACATCGAGTGTCTTCACTTTAGGATGGAGTCTTCTCGCTGCTTTACATTGCGTCCTGCTTCCTGATCATGTACATCCACGAAGCAGCTACGCTGCTCCCCGCATAGAACTTCTCGCTAGAAGGTGGGTACTGTAGACGTTTTTTGAGAAGTGCAACGATGCTTCCTTCGATGCTCTCTTTGCTTCTTATCAACTCGTATTCTTTAATTTCCTTTTCCGCTTCCTTTTCATTCATTATTGCCAACCAACATTTTACATGCGCCGCATACAAAAGATGTTTTTCCTTCATTTTTATTTCATTCCTTCACTGTTAACTGCAGCCAGTAAGGGCGGCCGGTGGCGCATGGATACCGCACTAGAACACTGAAAGTTAAAGTTGATTCAGTAGTCGTTGTGAAATTACCTGATGTATTTCAGATGGCAAGACAGCTGTGTCGAGATCCGTGAGGCTGCCCAAGCTCTTTTGATTCGAGAACTGTCTCGGCTAGGTTCTCCAGGACGTCGACGCCTTGTTGAATCGTGGACACCGTTCCTTCCACCGTTATTAGATCCAGCACTGTCGATTTTTGGTCCGTTTTGACTCCTTAGTTCCATGTTTCAATTTATAGAATTCTCCTCATAGATTCGCAATCACTTCTTTCTCCCAATCGTTCTTGTTCTCTATTTTCTCAGTTTTTTTTTCATTCGCATCATTTCCTGCAGTCCATCTTCTCTTCGGCCCTTCGGATTCCTACTGGGTTATCCATCTCTTGATCCTGCTCATTTTCATGCGGTATAAATTTCAGGTGCACGTTTGCAATCCTCGGTGCCAAACCTTCCACCGTCAGCACCGCCAATTCCACCAAGGCGGAAAAACTCGCCGCCGCCTCTTGCTCCTGTTCCTGGTGCGTCTGGTTTTTCTTCCAGAAGGATATAAGTGACCGTTACCGCGCTAGTGATCCGAGAATAGAACCGCATACTAAACCCGCCTAGGTCAAGTGAGCTTCACGCTGGTTTATAAAACGGTTTCCTCCTTGGATTAGTTGTACAGGCCAATTATGTAGTGTATTTTCGTTACATATGCAAGTGAAAGTCTAGTGTCTGTGATGGCCAGTAAGAGTTAGATCAACGCCAAACAATCAATACTTAATGCATCAATGAA